TCCCGTCTGGCTCTTCGCACCTCTGCTTTTTCATCTGTCCATATTGTCGGAAGTTTAACTTCTAAACTTCCTTCGACTAGTACTTACTACTACTTGCCAGTACTTACTACTACTTACTACTTACTACTACTGACTACTAGTTACTACTACCTACCACTACTCACTTCTACTTACTTCTACTTACTACTACTTACTTCTACTTACTACTACTTACTTCTACTTACTTCTACTTACTACTGTCTACTTACTGCTTACTACTAAGTTCTCACTACTGACTACTTACTGCTGTCTACTTACTACTTACTACTTAAGTACTCACCACTGACTACTGACAACTGACTACTACGAACTACAAGCTACGAACTATGAACTACGACTAACCATGACTAACTACGACTACCTAACTACGACCAACTACGACTATCTACGACTATCTACTGCTAACTAATGCTAACTATTGCTAACTACTGCTAACTACTGCTAACTACTGCTAACTACTGCTAACTACTGCTAACTACTGCTGACTACTGCTAACTACTGCAAAAGACTGCTACGGTTATTACTACTACTACTACTACTACCACCACCACCACGACGACGACTACTACTACTACTATGACGACTACGACGACTATGCGACGACTACGACGACGACGACGATGACGACGACGACAACGACGACCACGACAACGACTACTACTGCTACTGCTACTGCTACTAGTACTAGTACTAGTACTAGTACTAGTACTAGTACTACTACTACTACTACTACTACTCCTACTCCTACTGCTACTGCTACTGCTACTGCTACTGCTCCTGCTCCTGCTCCTGCTCCTGCTCCTGCTACTGCTACTGCTACTACTGCTACTACTACTGCTTCTTCTACTACTACTACTACTACTGCTCCTATTCCTCCTCCTCCTCCTACTATACTACTACTACTACTACGACGACGACTACTACTACTACTACGACGACCTACTACTACTACTACTACTACTACGACTACGACTACGACTACGACTACGACGACGACTACTACTACTACTACTACGACGACGACGACTACTACTACTACTACGACTACTACTACGACGACTACTACTACTTCTTCTACTACTACTACCACCACCACCACCTCCTCCTCCTCCTAGTACTACCACCACCTCCTCCTCCTCCTTCTCCGCCTCCTCCTCACATTCTGCGCTCTACGCTTTACACTCCACACTCTTCACTTCCCACTCCCGACTTCACACTTCCCACTTCACACTCTACACTCCACATTCCACACACCGCACGCAGCACTCTCCGCTTAACACTCCGCACCCCACACTTCACACTGTACACTTCAAACTTTGCACTACAAAATTCCGACTTCACACTGCACACTCTACACTTCTCACTTCAGACTTCACACTCCACACCTTACACTCCACACTACACTCTTGACACTCTGCACTCTACGCTCCACACACGACGCTTTACCGTTCACACTTCATATTCCCCATTCCATACTCCTCACTTTACACTCCACACTCTTCACTCCCCATTTCCCACTTCACACTTCACCCTCCGCACTAGACTCCACATTCCAGACCGCACACTCTTCACTACACACTTTGCACTCTTTACACTGCACACCCCACACTCTACACACTACACTTTCCACTCCACGCTCCAGACTCGACTTTCTACACTCCCCACTCCCCACTTCACCCTCCGCACTCTACACTCCACAGTTCACACCCCACACTTCAAATTTCTCACTTTACACATTACACTTTACACGCTGCACTCCACACTCTACACTGCTCTCTACACTCCACACTTTACACTCCACATTCCACACTGCCTCTACCCTGCACACTTCACACTCCACACTCCCCACTCACCCCACTTCACATTCCACACTCCGCGCCCACATTTCCTACTGAACACTCTACCCTACATTGTTTACACTCTACAGGTCACACTCCACACCCTGCCCCCTCCTCCACAGCCCACACTCTACAATGATATAGTAACAGCGGAAAAAGTCAAGACTGTTGCAGCAATGTGTTTCACAAACTGTTTTACGTGATGTGCATTACTGGGTTTCATCTTGCAAAAGCAAGGAAGCCAAGAGTTCAAGGGAAAGGGAGGGAAGAAGCGGAAAAGGGAAGGAAGGCAAACCAGCTGCGTCGTCAAAGCTGAACATTGCGCAGCTGCGAAGTGGAATGAAATCTGACCAAAAAAAGTAGACTTGCTTCCTTTGTTCCCACCCCCTGCGCTATCACTTTTTGAATAGGTTCTTCTTTCTACCTTGGCAGCCCGTTTTTCAGGCACCACCAATTTTCAACAGGTTTCTTGTCCTTTCTGTTTTTTGGGGCCTGTGCCAAGGTTGCGGTGCACGTGAACCCAGTAGACTCTGCCCTGTACAGGGAGGGTCTGCGGGTCATGTTTGATCGCCTCGCTGGCAACGACGGCGACAGGCCAGAACCAGCCGACGCCCTTTCACAAGGCGGCTTCGGTCCTTCCAAAGAGCAGCTGCCAACATACATTGCCATCATCGCCATCAACTCGACATGGCCATCATCACCAATATCATCATCATCATCATCATCTACGACGACAACGACGACGACGACGATAACCACACCTACAACTTAATACCTGTGGTTGCATCATCAACAACGAGATCACCATCATTCATCCACGCATCTACAACTTCATATCTGTACGCTTGTCACTCTAAATGCAGGTGGACAAAATGTTCCTGTGCATCGAAGCTCCCGTAGATATTTATATATATATATACAATTGTCTCCAGGCGTACAGGTACAGATGCGTAGGACGCCTGCAGCTTGACCTATGCAGGTGCAAAGATGCAGATGTATACATGCAGGTGTGCAGATACAGGTGTAAAAGGCGCTTACAGCTATCTGTTTGCAGATGGCATGAAGGTGTTTCTCTCAAGGCGGCAGCACAGTGCGGATCGATGCTCTCAAAACGCAGCCCTCTCGACATGAACGTTGATGGCGCCAAGCTGCAGCGAAACCAGCAGCTTCAGTTGTTCAGTTGTTCACAGCAACCTCCTCGCAAGAAATGCACGTCCATCTCGCGAAACTGTAGCAAGACGTACGTATGGGCTTCGAGTTGCTTGATGTGCCCCCGCGCCACCATGCGGAACTGTGGCAACACAACATTTGAGGTGTCTGGCGCGACTGTTTCACTCGGCATATCGATCGCACAAAAGCGAAATCAAAACGTATATGCTGAGTTGTTTCCTGTAACCCCTGGACGTGGCGTCGGTGACAGCTCGCTCTATTTGTGGCGCCGCGTTCATTTGATATTGCACATACAAGAATGCATCGCTTTTCCTGCATGTGTCTCTGTGTGTGTGCAAAAGCATCTGTGCAGAAAAGTTTTTGTACAACAGCCGTTCTGTGTATGTAAAGAATTTGCATGTAAAATTGTCCGCGTCTAATGGGATTGTGTTTTTCTAAGCGTGCAAGAGGTGTTGTGTGCAAAAGTGTTTGTGGATGCAGGGTAAGATCTCTGTGTGGAAAAATTTAGGTGTCTGTGTATTACAGCCTTGTGCGTACAGCCTTTGTGGATACAAGCGTTTGTGTATCAAAGGTTGCATGTGTAAAAGCAACGTCTATGTGTCAAAGCTTTTGAGGTGTTTGTGCTCAAAGGGTCCATGTGTCAAAGTCTTTTGTGCGTGTACGAGCATGTGTGTGTGTGTGCAAAAGGCTTGTGTATGTGAAAACATCCGTCTAGGAAAGCTTTTGTAAAAATGTCGGCTTCTCTGTACAAGGTTGTCTGTAAAAGCCTCTGCGTGCACAAGTGCCCGTGTGTCATGTCAAAGCGTCTGCGTGCAGCAGCAACTCCGGAAAATGAACGATGTAAAATCGTCTACCTGTAAAAGCCTCTGCGTGCAAAAGTGTCTGTATGCAAAAGCCTCTATCTGTCAAGTAGTCCTCGTTGGAAACTGTCTGTGTGTAAAAGCTTTTTTTCCCCAAAAAGTGTGGCCACACTGAAGGGGTTCTTACGGTAAGTGTTAAGGCCCGGTGTTCAATCGAGGTGGTATCGGAAGCGCCTGGCATTTTCCCTGTAAATTTTCCATACAAAATTGCTCTTGTGACATGTCCATTTGCATTTCGATTGCGCAGGCTCGCACAAAACGCTGGCCCCGGGAGTCGCGTCCGACATTACCCCTGTAAATATCCACACAAAATGCCTCTTGTCAAATGTCCATGTGCAATTCGACTGCGCAGGCTCGCACAAAACACAGGCCCCGGGATAAGTGTTCACCATTTTCCTTGTAATTTTCTATACAAAATGGCTTTTGTGAAGTGTCCATGTAAATTTCGACAGCGCAGGCTCGCAAAAAACACTGGCCCTGGGATAAGCGTCCAACATTTTCCCTTTCAAATTCCATACAAAATTGCTCTTGTGAAATGTCCATGTGCGTTTCGACTGCGCGGCTCGCACAAAACGATGTCCCCGGAGGTGTCCTCGGCCATTTTCCCTGTAAATTTCTACACAAAATGGCTCTTGTGAAATGTCCATGCGCATGTCGCCTGCGCAGGTTCGCACAAAGTGTGCTTCCCGGTCTTGGGATCGGTCTTCTTCCTCAACCTCATCCTCCTCAGCCTCATCATCTTCCTCCTCCTCCTCCACAGCAACATCATCATCATCATCATCATCACCATCACCATCATCATTCTTATCATCATTTTGATCATCATCGCCATCATCATCCTCATATCACCATCATCATCATCATCATCATCATCAACCTTGCCATCATCAAAAACAATTAGCATCATCATGTTTCCTTTTTCAAAAAACTTGACAATAGTATACCATACTTTTTCTGCTAATTATGCCCACGGCAGTATGTATTGCCCAACTATTGGTGTATGAGTGCCACAAATATTAGGGTATAAATGAACCAAATATTGGGGTATAAATGGCTCAATATTGGGGTATATATACCCCAAATACTGGGTATA